ATGGGGTAGAGGAAAAGCAGGAGCCGATCACTGATGAGGAGGTAGAGCTTTGACAAAGAGCATATAAGGACCCTGAGCAAGAAAGGAGGGTGTTCACTCCCTGATGCAGGACAGCAGTGAGGCTGCATTTGGTGGAAGCTGCTGATCCCTCACCCCAAAGTTGGGGCCGAGTCTGACCTGAAGTGGATCAGATGCTGAAACAGAGTTAGGAATCAAGTAAGACAGTTGCATCAGGGAAACAGCTGCATTGTTTTCCAGCTTGGGTTCTTTTCCATGGATATTTTGCCCTGTGTGTTTCTAGTGTATCCTGCATTAATTCTTCTCTGCTTTCATAACTGTTCTCTTAATTTAGGTGGGTAGCTGTGTTGGTCTGAAGCAGCAGAACAAAGTTTGAGTCCAATGGCACCATTAAGATTAACAAAGTTTTATTCTGGGTATATAAGCTTTTGTGTGAACAAACACTTCTGAAGAAAGTTTATAGCTAGAAAGCTTATACCTAGAATAAAACTTTGTTCGTTTTAAAGGTGCCACTGGACTCAAACTTTGTTCTGTTCTCTTAATTGTTACAGTATTTGTTCAGTTCTCTTAATTGTTGCCGTATTTGTTCAATCGACTAATATTTTTTTGTTCACTCTGCATGGGTTCTTCATTCCTTATATTCTGCCATATAGTAGTGCATGCCCTTCACTGAAAATAGAGTTGCCAGGGGACCAGAAGACCAATCTGGGCCCTTCCCAGTCCAGCCCTAAAACTAGAATGTTGGCAGCTAGTTAAGCCTCTTGCCTACTCCTGGGCTGAATGGGGGTACAGGAGAGAAAGAGGGTGGGGTGGAGGGGTCCTTGTAAGGAAATCCCATCAACAACAAAACCCTGCAAGGCCCTGGCCATTCCTGCAACAACCTCACTTTCTGTTTGGCCCCCAAATGAAACCCCTGTCTACAGGAAAATCCTGAAATAGACGTTCAAGAGGTACAAGTCTTGATCTTTGTGCTGGTTTAGCCACAAACTATGTGCTGTTGCTGGGGAGGGAAAGTGTGATTCATTTCTCAAGAAGGAGAGATGCTATCTATTATAAATATAGCTAATTAGCAACTGTGTTTTATTTGTAGTATTGCATGCTATTCTACATATCTATAGATTTATCCCAAATATTTATATTCTGTATATATGCTTGGCAATTAAAAAAAAACACCCTATAAAATGGGATACCTGATACGAGAGAGAGAGAGAGATTCTAATATAGTATACTGTGGGGCATAGTGATCAATGCGTCAAACTAAGATCTGGGAGATCCAGTTTCAAATCCCCACTCTGCCGTGGAAACTTGCTGAGTGATAGGGATGCCGGCCTCCAGGTGGGACCTGGGGATCCACCAGGAATTACAGCTCATCTCCAGACTACAGAGATCAGTTCCCCTGGAGACACTGGATGCTTTGGAAGGTGGACTCCATGGCATTGTACCCCACTGAGGTCCCTGTCCTCCCCAGGCTCCATCCCCAAATCTCCAGCAGTTTCCCAGTATAGATCTGGCAAGCCTACTGAGTGACCTGTTGGGTTAGTCACACTCTCAGCCTAACCTACCTCACAGGGTTGTTGATGATAAAATGGAGGAGAGCAATGTAAGCCAGTTTGGGGTTCACTGAGGAGAAAGGTGGGATGTAGAAGTAAATAAACTATCTGCAAACTGGTTGCTCAGTCACAAATTGAAGTTCTGAAGAAAAAAGTGGAGGGGGAATAGCAAGCCTTGCTTCTCCCACACATGCAGATACACACGTGACAGGGAATATTGAACTGACTTGGAACAATCTATCCAATTTTAGCACTTGTACTATACTAATACTTGTCTAGTATGAAAATGGATGTACCAAGCAGCAGTTTTCTGGGATCAAAAGGGAATGCTAGGGGAAGGAGAATGCAGGGTAAATACTCCTCTGCCAGCACCTTCTGATAGTTTGCTGGGCTAGGTTTCCTTTCCAGTGAAAATAGCTCAGAGTGATGTACAAGAGAATAATTGTAATTGGAATAAAAGGTTCTACTTGCAAAAACTGATTAAAATAGATTAAAAGTCTTGGCTAATAATAATGTTTTAACTAAACAGAAAAGGGAAGCAGATAGTTTTGCTTCTTGGTTGGAACATTAGTGTTTGCGATTTCTTAATAAAACTTTTTTAGGGAAACAAATGCTGTTCAATTGTTATGCATTACACCAAGTTTTACAGATCATGATAAAGGTTTTTCCTAAGTAGCTTTGACAGTTTTATCAAAGGAGACATATGGCCTACAACTAGCAAAGGATTTCCTTTGCAAGAATCTGCAAATTGCCTCTCAAGTGACCTTGCTTCACTATTAATACATTTACGTAAGTAATTATGCAAAATGCATTTAGACTCAATAGGAGTTTAGTAATGTTAGCCTGGATTAGTGCTGCACCATAGCAGCTCTATTTGAACTCTGTGTCCTTTGTACAGTTCTACTACTCAGGGCCATACCCAGGAACACCAAGATAATTTGTCTTTCCTCTAAATGTGAAGATGGTAGGCAATACTTGAATTCCTGTATTTTATTTTCTTGCCATTTCTGTATCACCATAATGGAAGGTTAGGTATATGTTGAATGATATGTCTTGCTCATCACAGTTAGAACTCTGAAAAGAAAGATTCACAGTTTTTTAAGCACTAAGGGGTTGTCTAGTTTCTCTTTCTGTGAGAACTGATTTTAGTAAAGAATGTGTTCTCTGAATGTAAATACTTTCTAAATTGTGTTTTTTTTAAATTACACAGATACATACTTGTTTTGGATTTTATTAATTGTTGTTTCACGTGTTGTTTCACATCTTGTGTTTGATCCTGGCCCACTTACATAGTTAAAAGCATGGAGACCTAATTTAATTGTCATTATTCCTGACTAGAAAGTGAGCAATGACATTTCTACTTGTGTGTGTTTGTGTTTAATAGAAATACATGTTCTTATCCTTCTCCAGGATAAAACTATCCTGGGAATGAGTTTTGGGTACATGACTTTGAGTCCTGTTTGGAGAAAAGCAGCTTTTAAATGCCATAAATAAAATTATCCGTAGATTCCTGTTGAAAATGACAAACTTATCTATGAAGCGTTCTGGTTGACTTCTTTCAGTTTTTTTGTGTTTAACCGAGGGGGGGGAGGGAGGAGTGCAAAATATTTTTCAAGTAATTGTTCAGTGTGGGTAAGTATGAGATAGCCCTGGCAAAATGAATGTAAAAGTATATATAACTAATTAGATCACCTGAACAAATACATGGAATACAAATGACTGAGCAAAAACCATGAACCTCCCACTTTGTGTGCAGGGTTACAATGGAAAAGATATACAAAGTGTAAGCAAGCAAGATCTATATAACAGCATGGAGTCTGTATATCCCATTTTACCAAGTATTAAGTTAGTCATAGTTTCACATTACCTCACTAAGGAGACTTTTTTTGTCTTCCAGTCCTCTTTCCTCCATCTAGTAAATGTATTGCTATTTCCAACAGGCTGCTCCCCCCTTTTGCTGCTTAGGTTTAGTGCTTCTAGCAGGTAGTCATCCTAACAACTAAATAGTATTGTTAATACATTTCAAAGTGTTGCAAACCTTCCTGTGTTCAATACCCCAGTGTATAGTAAGTATAGACCAAATTCTGGGTAGGGTTGCCAAGTCTATTTTCCTTGGCGGCAGGGGAGCCTCGCCGGGCTCTGGGAGCTGTCGGTGGACGTGTGCGCACGCGCCGCCAGGACGTCACCAGAAGTGACGTGCGACGTCGACACATTGAGGGCGTGGCCCCGATCGTCGGAGGGAAAACCATAGAGTTTTCCCTTCGATGATCGGGACCACGCCCCCAACGTGATCGACATGGTTGCATCACCTCCGGTGACGCAGCCATGCTGCGCTTCGAAGGGCGGAGTTCCCCCCGGGGCCCGATTCCGCCGCGGCGGAAATTGGGCCTCCAAAGCGGGGGTTTACTCGCCCCCACTTGGCAGCCCTAATTCTGGGGAACTGAGCCTGCCCATATCCAGAAAGGAGTTTCTTCTATTTCCTTTAACTTCCTAGTAAGCATGGATCAAGAATGGCAGTTTTCTGGGTGAAGACATACCATAACATATACAGATTTTTAAAAGACCCCCCCCCGCCAACACCTAATTAAAAATACTGATCATAGAAGGGAAAAAAATTCCTAACAGCAACTGAACTAGGTTAAGCTAGCTGTTCTCTTAATTTACGAGGTTGGGAGAAAACTCCTTTTTCTTATTCCTTTCAGAGCAGACCCATAAGAGAATGTTCTTTTGTTGCTTCTTTTTCTGATCTCCACAATGATTTTAAATTTCTTCCATCAGTTATGCTATATGACATCTCCCTTCCACATACTGAACATTTTCAGAGGATCCTGGGAAATCCCACTGTTGGAAGTTTCTGTGTCTGGCTTTCTATTGCTTACTTTTAAATCTAAAGTGTCTGCACAATCTGCTTTATAAATCTTCTCTCTCTCTCTCTCTCTCTCTCTCTCTGTCTCTCTGTCTGTCTCTCTCTCTCTCTCCCTCTCTCTTTCTGAGTAGCTTCATTTCCCCAACTCAAATCTAACTTGTAAAACTATTTTCATAGCAGTTCTGCCTCAAGAGTAATTTTTCAAGCAAGACTTTGAACATAAGCAGGGTACAAATTAGAAAACTTCCACCAGAAGTATGCGTTTGAAAGGTTACATGAATGTGAAGCCATTTCACCTAAATAAAAAAATCTTTGTACAGTAGTACATCATGTGATCATCATTTGTAAGACTGGCTATAAATAGATTTTTTGAGGCAGTTAAGCTGTCTGAGTGTGTTAGGTAAAAAAGTGAACTCCAACTATATTTCCTGACTAGAATTAATGGCTTGGGGGGGATTAAATACGTGTGGGTGTATGCGATACAATGATCTTCCTTGATTTTGCCATTTAGTTTTTGGATTTAGAGAAGTTGTCTTTAATTCCATTTTTGATACGTTGTATTGCAGGATAACATTTTGCCATCTGCCTTTCCAAAGTAAATGGCTGTATGTGGGCACTGAAAGAGGAAATATACACATTGTCAATGTGGAGTCCTTCTCTCTCTCAGGATATGTCATCATGTGGAATAAAGCCATTGAACTGTAAGTATAGTTTAGGTGAAAAGAAATATGCTGCTCTTGGACATTGTTTTCCTGTTTCCTAAGGTGCTTATTATTGATTTTTGTGTGAGAGTGAGAGCACTAAATATCAGTGTTAACTAGTTTTTATTGTAGTAATACCTTACATACTGACTTGTTAAAGTATATCTCTCTGTCTGTATGCAGCTTGTACAAAACGATGCCAGTGGCCATTACAAAGATATATTAAATATTGGAAGAGATTGGGGTTATACTTAGTGAAGGTGGTACGTTAGTCATATGTCATCATTATATCAAATCAGTTTCACAATGCTAGCAGAATAATATTGTAGGCAGAATTCACTATATTGTTTGAGGAAAGGTATTTAATATAAAATGGACTGTTCAAAAACTTTAATGAGCTATTTATGCAGTATTGTAATGTTTTCAGCTATATTGTATATAGCTGCTAAGTACCTTGCCAAGTGTATTTAGGTCAGGATGTTTTGTTTTTTGTACAAATTTCACAAAAATTAAATTCTCCGGAAATTTTAAATTTCTGAGGATTTTTATGATAAAGATAAAATATTTCTCACATTCTCTCCCCCTGCTGACATCCAGAAATCTAATTAAAGATTGCCAATTTTATGGCAGAATATGGATTGTTCTACTATTAAAAATAGATTATTCTACAGTCTATAAATATAAAGTATAAAAACAGCCTTTCTGGTTGTACTTAGTAAAAATCTCCTTCCTGTCCATCAGGGTATTCCTGAAAATATTGTGATTTCCCCTGGCTAATCCCCCACTTTAAAAGTGTCTTCTTTAATTACATGTTGGATATGATGCACCTAGTACCTGTTATGACATTTTCTTAAGAATCTGGCCTCTGTATCTAACATATTGTGAAAGTCATGAAAGGGGTCCATGACAAGCAGGGATTGTCTTGGTTGTGCTCCCAGCATAGAGCACTTGTGAGGGAATTAATAGCTGTCTGTTTCTGAGATGGTGTGTCTGATTTTGCTATGAGTATTTAAGGAATCCAGAAAAAAATGGAATGGGGGAAATCCTAGCTATTGTCTTCTGTTCTATGAACCATCATGAAATATTTAAGTGCCAGTCCTGGTGCATATTTTAATACAAGGTTTAGTATGTTGACAAAGTTGCCATGCTGGATAATATGCAGGTAAGCTTTCTTAGAGTTGTAGAGTATTGGGGCAGAAATTTTCCAAAATGGGAAATTTTCCAGTTTTTTAATTTAATTTCTAAAGATTAAGTATTTCATTATAACAACAATTAATTTATGCCATTGCCAATGTAATGTTAGGAAGTTTGGCAGATTCAAAGCTATAATTCATGTTTGCCAGGTGACTAGGAATTGTATGAGAATACACGTATGTATTGTTGATTTGTAAATGGGAGGTGCATGGATAAACCCATAAATATATACAGTCAAATAAAGAAATCAAGTTAGTAATTCATCTGATTGGCTGTGCAGGTAGAATCAAAACCAAAGTTAAAATTCTTATTTCCTCTCACATGGTGGCAGGGATATTGTAACTACCGGCTTGATATGGAACCATGTGAAGGAGGTGCCCCAGTGACCCCTCTGTGGATGAGAGTTAAATTCTTTTGAAATAGATGAGTGGACAAGTACACCCACAACATATCATGCACAGTTCTTTTGTTGTGATAAAATTAGTGTGTCAGTAGTTTTCGGTGTTTCTGTTTAAATGTAAGAAAACAACAACTACGTAATGGAGCTACATGTTATATTCTTTTAAGTTTTATAAGTATTGTTCCAATAAAATATTTTGCACATACAGCTTAGAATTTGTTTGAATATAACAGTTAAACCACATTTGATTTGTTTTGGTCATAATCAAATTTCAGTTTCAGTTAAGTTTATATTATTCACTAAATGTTAGTGTCCCGAGGACGGTACCGCCACCCCCCCGCACCACCGACAAGAACACCCCCGACGCCGGGAGGGCAGCCCCTAGGCCCACCTCTACTCACCTGGGGCCCCAGGGGAGTTCAGAGAAAGGCAGCTGAGGAGGGCTTGGCAGTGGCCCCCATGTCAGCCCCAACCGGCGACAATAGCAGAGGCTCCGGGAGATCGTCCAAACATGGCCAGGCGGCCACGCCGGGCCTAAGGCCCGGTGCGAGAGCACACCAGCGCACCCTGGCGCCACGCCCCACATGGAGCCACCCAACTGTATTGCACCCAAGGCCGGAAGGAATAACAGAGAACGAAGTCCCTCCCAGGAGTTGGTGTCCTCCATTATGTAGGGGGGCGGGGCTGGGGAAGGGAGGAGGAAGGGGAGAACACTGGGGAGGCAGGAGGAGAGAATAAAAGGACGTGGCTATAAGAGGCCAGGGATGATGACCTGGATTGAGGAAGGCACTGCAGAGCAGAGAGACGGGAGGTGCCAACCATCCAGAGTGAAAGTAGTGGCAGGGACGGTGAAGCAACCTCCCTCCCCGTTCAGGTGTCTGAGGCCCCTGATGCTTGGACGGGCAGGTCACCAAGGTGGCGGAGCAAGGTGGGCTTGAGGAATCCAGTGGCAGTGAGGGGGATTCGTCAGGGTCATGTGATAGTCAAAATAAAGCTACTAAGTCAGATCACACTTTATATAGAGCATCAGATATTTTTCCAGACAATTTTGCAATTGTATAAGCCATCCCCTTCAGACATGAAGGTGTCATTTATGTTTATCTGCTTAATTCTAAATTTATAGGTTATTTGTTCTGAGATTAAATCCTGTATTACCATGTCAACCTGCATTTGGCTTTTGCATTTGAGGTTGTTTCAAAAGTTGTTGGTTTTTGGTATAAGTAGGATTGTGATTGTGGTAGTTGATTGTGATACAGACCATGAATTATTAATACTGAAATGAGAATAAAGCTGAAGACAAACACCAAAATATTCATAGTGCCAAAATACAATCTAAGCAACATTCCTAAATTATTTAAAGACCATGTAAAGAACAGATTTGCATTACTAATTTCAAGTGAGCATGAACCGGAAGAACTGTGGGTTGAAACCAGAGATATTATCCATGAAGAATGCACAGAGACTGTTCCTGTAGCCAAAAGAAATGAAAAGCCTCAATGGATAATTGATGAAATTCCTGAAATTGCTAAAGAGAGTTGAGAAGCAAAAGTAAAAGGTGACAATATCAGAAGTCTAAATGCAATGTTCCAGTGTCTTGCACGTAGAAACAAAGAGAATTATTATAAGAACATAAGAGACGCCAATGTTGGATCAGGCGAAAGGCCCATCCAGTCCAGCACTCTGTCACACAGTGGCCAAAAATACCAGGTGCCATCAGGAGGTCCACCAGTGAGGCCAGGACATTAGAAGCCCTCCCACTCTTGACCCCCCCCCCAAGCACCAAGAACACAGAGCTTCAATTGCTCCAGAGTCCCTATCTATACCTTGTGGCTAATAGCCACTGATGGACCTCTGCTTCATATGCTTAGCTAATTCCCTTTTGAAGCCGTCCATGCTTGTAGTCGCCACCACTTCCTGTGGCAGTGAATTCCATGTAATAACTAGTGGAATAAATTCCATATAATAACTAGTGTAAAGAAATAAAACAGAAAAAGAAAAAGAAGGAACAAGAGATTTGTTCCACAAGATCCAAGAAATCAAAGAGAAATTTAAACTACAGTTAGGCATGCTGAAAGATCAACAAGGGAATGCATTAACTAAACAGGTCAAAATAAAGATATGAACAATACACTGAAGAACTATACAGAAAATATAGAAGTATGGCTAATTCCTTCCAAGAACAATTTTTGAAGAAGAACCTACACTTTTACAAAGTGAAGTGAAAAGTGCACTGAGAGCAATTGGGAGACATAAATCACCAGGAGTAGACAGAATATCCAAGCCACAGAAATTGAGTCCATCAAAATGTTAACAAGATTATGCCAACAAATATGGAAAACAAAACAATGGCCTACAGACTGGAAACACTCAATCTACACCAGTTTGGTGTAGTAGTTAGGAGCATGGATTCTAATCTGGGAGAACCGGGTTTGATTTCCCACTCTTCCACATGCAGCCAGCTGGGAGACCTTGGGCAAACCACAGTTCTCTCAGAGCTATTCTCTCAAGAGCAGTTCTCAAAGAGCTCTCTCAGCTCCACCTACCTCACAGGGTGTCTATTGTGGGGAGAGGAAGGGAAGGAGGTTGTAAGCCACTCTGAGACTACGAGTGAAGGACGGGGAATAAATCCAATCTTCTCTTTTTCTTCAATTCCAAAAAAAGGAGACATCATAGACTGCGGCAACTTATTGGACCATTGCATACATTTCTCACACAAAGTAAAATGATGCTCAGAATCTTACAACAAAGACTGTTACCACATATGGATAAGCATATGGAGGTATAGATGGAATACTATGGTTTGGGTAGTGATGCTCTGGATTCTTGGTGCTTGGGGGGCAACAGTGGGAGGGCTTCTGGAGTTCTAGCCCCGCTGGTGGACCTTCTGATGGCACCGGGGTTTTGGCCACTGTGTGACACAGAGTGTTGGACTGGATGGGCCATTGGCCTGATCCAACATGGCTTCTCTTACGTTCTTATGTGGGATGAGAAATGCCAGATGTTCAAGCTGGATTCGGAAAAGGAAGAGGCACTAGAGATCATATTGTAAACTTACATTGGTAACCGGAACACACGGGAGAATTTCAGAAGAAAATCAGCTGGTGTGGATCGTGAAAAGCTATGATTGGTTTTAAAAGAAATGGATGTATAATATCTTGTGATTGTTTTGATGTACAACCTGTACTCTGGACAAGAGGTTACTGTATGTGTTTTATCTCCCTATCTCTTCAATCTATATGCAGAACATTTAGTAAGGAAAGCTGGATAAGATTTAGATGAAGGTGGAGTGAAAATTGGTGGAAGGAACATTAACATTTTGAGATATGCTGATGACACCACACCGTTGGCAGAAAAAAACTAATGATGAAGGTTAAAGCAGAACATGCTAAATCAAAATTACAGCTGA